AACAGGTAGGTGAATCATATATTCGTGTTATTTTATATCCTAGAGAATGTCCCCCGTCAGGACTAAATAGATATTGGTCTACTCACTCAATCACCATCGCCTTCCCAAGGATGATTGTCTACAAAAAAGAGACGATGCCTACCCGTTGTAGTTGGTTTGCTTGTTACTAAAACAATTTCATAACTATGAAGTAAAGATGTATTCAATAACCGAATATTGCAGTAGATAAAAATAAAATTAATTAAGATCTGCATCAACTAAATCACATAAAGTCAATATACTTAATAAGCAAGTATTCTTGTTTTCATACGCTTTTGTACATAAGTGAGTAGCCCCTGGAACTGGTATAAGCGGTTATCACTAATAAAAAAGCAACAGCAAAAACTCATTAAATTTAAAATATATACCTGGAAGTAACTTCTTGAGTTTCTTCAAGCCATACGGTCAGAAAAAATAGCAGCTATTGTGGGATTTACCTTGTTAAAGGAATTAAGTCGCTGCATTTTCACGCATTAACTTTGTCAAAAGTCTCGCTTAAAATATAAGGACAACATTAACTAACTAAAATTATTGCCACAAATTCCTTTCGTGGTAACCGGCTTACTAAGTCGATCATTATTGGTTGTGAAAAGTATCATTCTCATATGTAGAAGATCTCTCTAATTAATCGTAAAAAGTTTGTGACAGTATCGTAATTCTTATCAACTTATTCTTTTCCATTTATCAGAGTCCCCAGCCAAGCCATTTAAACAAAGAAGTCAGTTTCAATAGACTTTCTAATTCAAATCATGCCATGAATGAGGGTTACTCATATTATTTTCAGACAAAACAAAGAGTTCATCACACAAACCATATGTGAACATTGATGACTGGAATTCCAACCAATTTCTCCAATCTTTTGAAGTATAGCTTCTCTTTCTTTCCAATTTTCAGGCAAAAGAAGCTTTAGGATGTCAACTGAATAAAACAAGATCCATAATCCAAATTAGTGAAACTATATATATATATATATAGAGAGAGAGAGAGAGTATACCTGGAGTGGCAAATACATAAACATCTCCTTCAATAACTTCCCTGCTAGTTAGTACGAAATTCTTCACAGTTCCATTACTATCAAGCTCAATTTCCTGTATTTGAGAATTTAGTCGACTTCACCACCTAGTGATTGAATGTGATTAACAATGAGCATGCAAGTCTCTCTAGGGGACTACCATCTAAGAATGCCATCCTGGAACCATGCTTCTACTGTTAAACATAATAAAAATATATTCTGAATCAGCCACTAGGTGGTGAAGTATAAATAACTAGAAACGTATATCCAATAGTACATCAACAACAATGCTTATTCACATTATACCTATATTCATATACACAAATACAACCAAAACACATAATACTCACAACAATATGTTAGTTGTTATCATGAGAAAACTAAATTAGGTCCCGATATGACTTGATCAGATAGTAAAACAAAATAAAGAAAAGTAATTAACTTAATTTGATGAAAGACCCATAGATCATTCTACCTATGTCAATCTAAAATAGAATTAAAAGAAGAATGAAAGCATTCCTTAAATAAAAAGGGAAATATTGATTTACATTCTAATTGACATCGGTCTTGTAACAGGTGGGGAATGCAAGGATGCACATACTGTCTACAACTCCATCAAGAATGTGGTGAGGGAGAGAGTTATGGACCTTAGCAAGATCATAAAGAATACCTATAATAGAGGACTTGTCGAGAAATGGGATCTTCCCATGTCTATTTTTAAAACAGCCCATGGGAGCTAATTTTATGGTTTGTTGTTATGTGATGAGTTTTCAGTGATGTAAGGGGATTTGGTTATATGACATCCCGACGGTTGATTATGCTAGACGAGGCTACTTTGACGATTGGAAGACTTGGGGTGTTGATCTAGTGCTTTGTCTTTGTGTCATTAATGGGCCCTACCTTGTTAATGTCCATGTTTATGGAATTCTTCTTATAAATGCTTATTCATATGGTTCTTTATTTTGATACTTTTGAGCCTAACCCAGGGCATGTCCTGTGGTAGGCGAGATTCATTGTATTCTTTAATCTCCACTTGGGTCCATTTCTTTGACAAGAAAAATGGGAAAAAAAGAAGATTAGGGGTAGACTTAGTATCATTCTTTTGCTCCTAACCCAAGGCTTGTCCAGAGGTAGGTTGGTCGACTTCTAGGCATTTTGTACATTCTTTCCCCCTTTCTATAAAAGCTTACTTACCCAAAAAAAAAAAAAAAGATATCGGTCTTGTAAAATGGAAAGTAATTATTTTTTAGATAGATCTATAAAGAAATTGAAGGTAGCAAATGAGGTACATTGTTGTGTATGTGTTTATTTTCTCTAGCTTAAAATATTATTAAGAAAAAATAAAAATGTACAGAGAGAACAAGCAGTAGTTTATATATCACACATGACGGATTGCCACAAAATAACAGTTCAATAAGGGTAATCAAAACACGTGGTTCTAAGTAGTTGTTCGGTATTATTTTAAGAGATAAATTTGAAAAATAGAAACTGAACGTTGTATTTTCAAATTTCGAGAATGTGTAGTATCATTCTCAAAAGACAGCATTATGAAAATGAAATAATGCAAATGTGTTAAATAGAGGTCTTTGGAAGGAAAAAAATATGTTTTCGATATATTATTACTAGAATAACTTATTAAATTAGACAATAGTTAAAAAAATAAAATAAACATATTAATAAGAATTCAAAAGCTCAAAAATGCTTTCTGGTTTTTCACAAAAGAATCATGAAAATGGTGAAAACAAGATAAGTGTTTTGTCATTTCCTTTACAAAAGTTAGAAAATGATTTGCGTTTCATGAAACATTTTTCTAAAATTTGTTAATCAACACATTGTATCCATGTTCTAGACTTTGCAAATAAGAAATCATTTCTGCAAAATTCCACCAAATACCCCAAAACCTTTCAAACACAAAGAGAGCACTAAAAAATGTTTGAGAGTGAATTTGGTCATGGTAAACAAAATAGAAGTGACATGTTACTTGATATGTTTAGTTTTACATCTATACACTAATCCAACATTAGATCGTCAGCCAGACTTTACCAAAGATCATTTAAATTATTTTGATATTGATGTTAATATAAAGTTTCTTGTGGACAATCAAGAGATTAAAAAAAATTTAAGGAAAAAAAAAAGAGGATTACTGTACCTGAAGAAATCGATTTATAGCAATCAATACACATTGCATTGACAATTCACCAGGGTTAATAAAATTTAGTGCCTTTGACATGGCAATAAACACCTTTGTCATCACACGCTCAGGTACCCCCTAAAGTTTACGCCAAATTCATGAGCACAAAGCATTTTGAAAATTTAACTTTGAAGATAGAGAATAAAAAACTCAACTTGAGGTAATATACATGTTCATTTGCTAAATTTGCAGTTTGCACTAACATTCAATAAATTTAACATGAACAATACAAAATACCCAACTCAACTCAGAAGCTAATTCATATATAAACATAGGTTGGACAAGATATAAAAAGTAATAGTGAATTAATTCCCAAACATTAAAAAAAAAAAAAAAAAAAAAACAAAGGTAGTGACCCAAAAAGAATATTTGTGTTCAAACACATTCCTCACAATTTTAATCTATAGTACGAGGTAAAACATCCAGCTCAAATTGATACTAATACCATGTTGTAGACTCAAAAAATCCCAAAAGTCTAGATTTCATAGGTAGGGCACCCAACAATATAAATAAAGTTTTAACAATTTTCAAAAGCAAACACAATAAATAAAGTTTTCTACGAGAAAATTATTCCATGAATTTAGACTATATTTTGTAGGCACTTTTTTTTTCTTTTTTATAGAAACACCAATATACTGAAAAAGAGAACAAAGATACAGAGGTGGACTATATGTCCACTGCAAGAGAGTTAGATCTTCACAATAACTCAAAATCTTGTGTAAACAGTGCAATATAAACACCAAAAAGAAAGAGAATTCAACAGCCCACAAAACCACAAAATTTTGGAGGTACTTCAAATTCTTTACTTATACTCTTCCAAGAATAAAGTTTTCCCAATTTCTGTCAGTTTCTAGTATTCTAGAAGTTTCTGCAGCTTCTTTCAGACAGTTGAAATTTGAGGCTTGCATCAACACTCGAGTGACTTTACTAACACTAGTACACAAGCCTCAACTAACAACACCTAGGATCTCTTTGTCGGTAAGATATATTCTTCTTTAGTCAAAGACAAAGCAATGCTCAAATTTGTAGATACAGTCACAGATACATTGTGCATACATACACATTTATGTCGTATTTGGTCAGTTGTTCAAAAAGTGAAGTATGAGGACCATGGCTACAAACTAATGTCAATTATCTTGCAATTTCACAAGCAAACAAAGATAATATTTAAATTTGTAAACTCTAGAAAAATTACGTGAAAATATGTGTGAAATTTGAAGAAATTTAAATTTTGAAAAAAAAAAAAAAATTATAAATGACATTAACAACCAAAAGTTAGTATTGAAGTGTACAACTACAAAGATAAGTGATGAACCTTCAATTCAGCATTTTCTTTCTCTTATTCATGAGTTTGGTAAGCTGTATGCCCAGATTATTCTTCATTCCTTGTTTAATGAGAAGGTTTGCTTATGGATCTCTGTTCATAAGTTTTTTTTTTTTTTTTTTTGGGGGGGGGGGGGGTTAAGTAAGCTTTTATAGAAAGGAGAAAGAATGTACAAAAGGTCTAAAAGTCGGCCAACCAACCTCAAGACAAGCCCTGGGTTAGGAGCAAAAGAATGATACTATCCAATTCTACCCTAATCTACTCTTTTTCATTCCTCTTGTCAAAGAAATGGACCCAAGCGGAGATTAAAGAATACAATGAATCTCACCTACCATGGACATGTCCTAGGGTAGGTTCAAAACTATCAAAATATAAAAACCATATGCATAAGCATTTACAAAAAGATTCCAATAACTAAGGACATTTAACTTCTAGTTCGCCTTTACTAATAACATTTTAATGAATTAGTCGCATGTTTTGTTTCTTATAATACATATATTGATTACGGGGCCACTTTGTCATAGACATGGTCGGAAGAATTGAATTTGTGTTCAAATATTTATCAGGTAATAACTACATAAACCAACAAGCCAATTTACTCTTTGTGTCCAATCCTGGTTCCTCAACATGCATTTCCAGATCTACGTAAAGAGCACATACTTTTTTTTTTTAAAGAAGAAGCAGAACATAACTTCAATTAATAATGGTCGCGGGGTTTCCTTTTTCTCTTTAGTGGTGGGTACAAGTATCTAACCATTTACAGGAGCTAGCAGAACTTCAGGAAAATCAAATCAATTGAATTCTCCTGGCTTGTTTGGCATTGCAAATATCATTGAGTGCTCCTTCCACTGCAATCGATCATTGATACCAAGTTCTCCGAACAGGTTCTGTATATTTGGGTAAGCCCCAACTTGCCAACAAGAAAAGAAAATATTTATCAATTAAAAGGAAATGCATAAGATTAGCCCTACTTTAAGAAAGGAAAAGACAAAAAGGTGACTTCGTCAACGTTTGTTATTGCAACATTCAAAAAACTGCATAAGGTAAAAGATACCCACTAGATCATCACTATGAAGTGAAAGTCCATCAGAACTTATTAAGACATTCATAACATCAAAAGAACAATCACTAGAAGACAATAATGAAGTTGTTGAGTCAAACATCAAAGACATCAGCAAACAAGAATTAGTTTCAAAAATTACATAATTTATCTGAGTTAAAAATGCAGTAGAACTTAGGAATGATGGTTAATAGAAAATAATGTTGTAGCATCACGAACTAAAATGATCATAAAAAAAAATTAATTAAGTAATATAAAGAAACTATATCAAATCACAAAATATATGCAGGCCTGTCTCATACCAGTCCCCATCATCACCTTTCCAGGCAGCTACCTAATGGGAAAAAGACCAAAGTTTAATGTTGAATGACAAAGAAATTGAAAAGATAAAACCCTGCAATACATATGGATATCAAGATGGAAACAAAAATTATCATGCAATTGTGTTCATCCTTGCTCCTAGAAACAGGAAAGTACTCATGCCACAATATCAACCAGAATGAAAAACTTCTTCCAGATTATCATCCATATGAAAATCGCCTATTGTTCAACAATGCTGAAAAATGACCTCTCTTCTAATCACTAACTAGCAAGCTTTTGTAAGTTTCTAGAAGTTAACAAAAGACTAAGAAATATAGTTTGGCGTCAACTAATTGGAAAGGGGTAAAGATAAAGCAAAACATAAACCTTTCCACCTAGACAATCTCTTGCTTCTAGTAACAAAGGTTGGTGACCTGCACCTGCCAGATATTTTGCAGTCAATAAACCAGCCAAACCTGCGATAATTTTCAAAATTAGAAGTTTCAATATATCATAAATAAGAAAAACTTTTTAAAAGAGAAATGGGAAAGATAGAAAGTTTATTTTGTTTGTTTTACTAAATATAGCAACTGTAGACAAAAATTAGGTGGCCTTATCAACATCCATAATTCAAAGTAAATAACTAAACACCAACAAACCGCTTGACTCAAAAGATCAGTATTTATCCAACAACTCAGCAAAATGAAGGAGATGTAAAATAGGAAAATCTGCAAGAGTACTGACAGAACTAGCTACAAAGGCTTTACATGCTCTTATGTAACATTCTTATACATCCTCGCAAAAGAAAACTTTAAACACATTCTAGTGCTTATATATAGCTTAAGAAATTCCCTATCATCCTCTTACTCCCAATTTAGGTTTCACTTCCCACTAATTTCATAATCTCAATTATCCACCCAGCACAACTTCCATATCTTGCAGTCAACTATAGTTTTGTTAATATGTTAAGAAATTCCCTATCATCTCCTTAAACTCAAAATTTAGGTTTCACTTCCCACTAATTTCATAATCTCAATTATCCACCCAGCACAACTTCCATATCTTGCAGTCAACTAGCTAGTAATATATAGTTTTGTTAATATGTAGGCTATACTCCAAATAAGACCAATCTTAATATATTCAGTTTGCATGGATTTTAAAGCTAGAAGGTTTGGAAATTTAAGCTCCATTAGCATATCACAATATTTATATTGAACATCAAATCAAGGTCCATTTATTGTCCTAAGCCTCAGAAAACTTCACTAGCATATCAAAATATTTATATTGAACATCAAATCAAGGTCCATTGATTGTCCTCAGCCTCAGAATATTTCACTAATGTCCATCTCCCAATGGAGAAAAGGAATTCATAAATCAAAGTGATAAGCTCATTAAACCTTCACCGATCAAAGTCCCAGTAAGTATTCCAAATAATGAAACAAACCTGACAACACAACAGATTATAAAGGAAAAGTATTAAAGAAAAAAATTAGAGATATTTGTGCTACAGATGTTTGGCAACTATGCAGTCTAATTGAACTCATAAAATGCATATTGTTCTACAATAGTTTAGGTAATAAAAGTATATAAGACAATAATATTTAATTTTTGACAAAAAAATTGTTAAAACATAGCTCAGAAAGAGTTAGAGCTTTACATAAACAATCATAAATCTTGTTTTATACATCAATATACTAGTGTTTCCTATCAAACAAAAAAAAAAAATGAAAAAAACATAGCTCAGAAATTATTTTCATACATGAAGGATAATTCAAGACATTAATTGAACAAAATATTTGCTTGACTGATTATTATCAATACTCATGTGAAAGATTATGCTATCCTTAGGGACTGGATCATTTTGTCAATCAATCAAATTGAAATGCAAACTGTATCAAGGAAAATGAGAACAATCCAAAACAATTGGACGGAAAAACTGGAGAGAAACATAACAAGTATCAAACTAATTCAATCAGTGTCGCAAAAATAAAGATTCAAAATTACAAAGATCAGCATCCCTTATTCAATTATAGGACCATGATCTAACTTTAAACTGGAGCTCAGAAATGTAAGCAACACTTGACCCCAAAAAATAAATACAAAGTGCTAGACAAAATGAAATAGAGATCACCTTTGTAAAACTTCCATGAGGTGATTATGTGCTTTCATCTTCTGAAGGAATCCTAATGCCACCATCAGTCTAAAAATGAAAGAGTAACACAACCTTAATACAACCAAAAATAACAATTATAATAACAATAATAATAAAAACATGACATTGTCCAGAGTTGAAAAACTTGTGCAAAAGAAACAAATGTCCATTAGTAAGACAATAATTTGCTTAAGGTGACTTAATTACCCACCAAGTAAGTTAAGAATCTGAGCACTTGAGTAGATCTTCTCTCTCAAGATGCAATGTAAAGACTTTATTAGATACTTTTGTCTTTGAAGAAACTAGAGCACACCTATAAGAAAGCAGTAAAATTAAGAAAAGCTAAAAAAAGCATGCAAGTCATTGCTTCATTAAAAAAAAAATACTCATTCATTGAGAAAGAAGGGAAGAGAGGAAAAAAAAAGGAGTTTAAGAGAGATAATACCTTCCTAGATGCATAGACACAATAGGTCCACCATATCCAAACATACCAAAAAAAGGTTGTATTGTCGCCAAAAGAAACAAAGAATCTTATAAACAAAAAGAGTGACAGCTTCCAATAGAGAATATGACTAATATCAAAGTTAATATTGGAAACTAGGACAGATGGTGAAGGAAAGACCGCATATTTATCTGCAATAAAAAAAAGCAATACTACTAAATATATGTATATACTATAAAGGCAAGATGCAAAAATATCCACAAGATTACACTTTACCTTTAAGTATGGAGGTTTGCACCCATCTTTCCCCTAAACATATGAATCGTGAATAATATATAAACCAAGACTGAGGCAGCCAGAATAAAATGATAATTAGGAAAAAACCTCATGTAAATCAGAGCTGTGTTAAAAATGTGCACTGCGGGGAAAGAACAATTATATCTAACATTAAATGCAACTATTATTTAGAAATTACATAAATATAAAACACAACATGCAAGAAAATCGATGAATGCTTATGCAGTCTACCCTAGTAAGATATTCTTACAAATTCATATATGAAACAAATAGCATATACTGAACAGCTATTCTTTCTTGTCAGTCTCTCCTTCTCCTTTCTCCCAAAATTTTGGTTTCGGGTGGAGAGATAGACAGGAAGTTGCTCCTCTACCTGGCTGTAAGCTTATGTTCCTTTTTCCAAACAAACTAATTTTTCTCTTCTTATCATATATAAAAAGTAAAACACTTGGAAATTTTTTCATTCCTACTTTTTAAAGGAACTACATCAATATTCAATGAAATTGTAAAATAAATAAGCCAAAGCTGAAAATGTAGCAGTCACAAATTTTCCCTTTCCTTATTGTCAGAAAATGAAGCTTAAGCCCCATTCCAATCTCTGAAATATCCAACAAACACACACAGGCACTAAAAGAAGAAGGGAAGTTTGTAAGTAAATATTGAAATCTATAATGTACCACTTAACTATAGAGTTTTCTTCACTACTATCCATTCCTGGGCCAGTGTAAAAAATTGATATCCTATCCTCCGCAATATGCACACTGCAAAGATATTAAAATGACCATCCCATACCAACCATTAAAATGTAAAAGGAAATTTGAGTCAGGCTGTAGCAACTTATGACAATTGAGTGAGCTGAATACATGTACCGAAACAACCATATATATCAACCCAATTGAAAAGCAAATAAAGAACTAGTTATAAGCAGAAACACATGTTTTTTTTTCATAGCACTATACAAATAATCATGTTTGAAAATTGAGTCATAATATAAAGAAGTTCCAAGGCATACAACAATTTTTTTTTTTTATAAATATTTCTGATAGCTTTGGAAGGAAATTCATATTAATAGTCACTATAAAAGGTTTTAAAGGGAGAATGACAATTTCCCAACAAAGGCTTGGCATAAGTAAGTTTTCCCACCCGAAAGGTTTGAAAAAAAAAAAATTTCCCACCCACTGTTAATATCCATTAATTGACAAGGTACAATCACTGTAAAGACGAAAATATCATTTTCTTCCTTCAAATCCACTCTCTCCTCTCTAAACCCCTTCTCTTTTCTTAGCCCGGCTCTAGTCACTGCTACAACTCCGGTGAGATCTACTAATTACCACCACCGCTGACATCAACATATAAAAAATCAACCCAGCAACGATAAATCTCAATCTAAATCAATAACACCTAAAAATCAACCAATATTAACTCAAATCAACAATCAAAACAATATACCATTTCTAAATTGAAACCAGGATATTGTGTATAGCACCTCATATCCTCAAGGCATATAACAAGAAATCAGCCAACTATAGATTTCCACGTTCAGTTGCTTTTCCATGTAGTCCAAGTGTACAATTAACTTCTCCATTTTGTTCATACTCCTCAAGAGCACAAGCTGCTCTGAAGGATCTACAAACCAAAGCGAGCATTTCATCTTCACCCAAGTACTCCGCTAACATCCTAAAGATTGATAAACCAGAGATTATAAACCACAAAAGACTGATGGACAAGTAATCATTTCAGTTAAGAAATTTGAAGAAAATTGAAGAATGGTGACCTGCTAAGCTTGATGGTCCAAGCTTTTCCAATAAGTGCTACAAGGCCGACAATATCTTCAATGAAATCAGTTCTTGATTCGTGGGGTGGAAACTCCTTACCAACACAACAGAGAACAGCAGCGGCAGATTGACCCCCGCTTTCAATCGGTCTTGTTATTTTCTCTTTTGTAAGCAAGGAGTATGGATCAGTCAAAATGTGAGGTTCAATTGAAGTTGGTAAACAAATCAACAACAGATCCATTTTCAGTTTTCCATCGCATATGTTGTTGGAGCCACATTTATAAATACATTGAAGGTAGTGCTTTAATTTAAGTAGCAGGTAGAAAGTAAAACCAAATTTCTAACTATTTGATTTTACATGAACATCTCAAACCCTAAAGCCACTTCTTCAATATCAAGCCTCCATCTCTCTGTACTACAGTCCCTCCCATGCAACAAAAACAAAACACAACCAAATTCATTGAAGCCCCATTCCATTCTCACAGGAAACAATTTCAAAGCCAAAAGGACCAAAACTCACTTCTTCAAAATCAACGGTTCAACCCTCCATCTCTATCTACTACCATGCAACAAAGAGCCCCAAGATAAAAGAACCCCATTCTCAGGCCTGAAGATTGAAGATTGGTTGAAGATTTTGATGATTGAAATCGGAGTCAAAGAACCCCAAGATCGAAGAAGCTGGTTTCGTTGTTTGGTAATGGTTTTTCGATTTTTCCTTTTCTGCTGGTATTGGGTTTTGTCGAATGAAATTGGGGGAGGGAGAAATGGAGAAAATTTAGCTGCCCGGTCGCCCCAAGTATGTATTTAAGAAAATAGCCTTGAAACTGTTCATCAAATTTTTTATAATTTAGAGAAGATGACGTGGCATAGTTAGGATTATTTAAACATGTATATCCTTTTTATCGCTTAAGCGATCATGACTGCGATCACGAGTAAAACAGAATAATCGCTTAAGCGATACAAGTGATCGCTTAAGCAAAAGTACAAGCAATATTCCCAAACTACGTACCCTATCTTCACCGGCCTCCTGCTCGTCGCCTCGATCCTCCGACGACTCCTCCTGGCCTGAATTCTCGCTGGAATCCTCCTTCTGGCCTGAATTCCCGCCTGACTCCTCGTCTTCAGACCCGTTTGATGGTTCTTCCCTCTGTTCTTGTGCCGCCGGCGTCTCCTCTGCGTGTGGACCACGTTCACTGGTTGGATGATCCACCGGAGCAGCCATTGAACTGCTTACGCCACTGGAATCTAGGATTCGAAGTGGCGTTAGGCTTCCCTCCTCATTGTTAGTGTCAGTCATGGTTTTGGATTGAATTTGGTGTCAAAGTTTGCAGTTTCGATCGGAAATGTGGATTGTATCGCCGGAAATGTGGATTGTATCGCCGGAAATGGCACAGATTTCGTTTAGGGTTAAGTAAATCGATTTTAGGGTTCAACAAATCGATCGAAAATCGCGACTATATCGCTTAAAATCGCGACTGTATTCGGTTTAGGGTTCAAGAAATTGATTTAGGGTGCAAATTTGCAGGTGTTCGATCGGAAAAAATCGCGTCTCCCTTTCGTTCAAGAAATCGTTTTTTGAACTAATGAATTTTGATTAAGCGAGGTGAATAGTTAGCGGGGATTGTTTTGCGAAATTTCAAATTTTAAAAACTTTCATTATTTCTGATTCGGCCCACATATGTTTTAATCTTTTCATTTTAACCTATTTTACGTGTTTAATTAATCCTAACTATGCCACGTCATCTTTTCTAAATTAAAAAAAAAATGATGAATAGTTTCAAGGCCATTTTCTTAAATAGAAACTTGGGATGACTGGGCAGCTAAATTTTCTCGGGGAAAATAAATCCATCAGAATCTTAAAAAGTACAAAATTTTTGAAATTAAATTATTTATTTTGATTACTTACTAGCTATGGTTTTCGGTATAATCTTTGCTTTAATTTCACTGAATATTTCTCTTAGAAAATACGTTTTTATTGATAATTTTGTTAAATTTCCAAACATAAAGCATGAGGATTCTAAAACTGAACAAAATAAAACTGAGTGAGATAAAAAGAGAAAACACGCCACCTGCACCAGCAATTACAACTTTCAAAGGCTTGGTTGGACGAGGAGAAGCACGAAAGGAAGAAGATAAGTAAGCAGCTTCCAATAAATTAGCTGTATTATCAATATCCGGTCTCGGATAGTCCACACAAGCTACCTGTAAAAATTAGGTTAAGTTTAGAACTTTATAATTCAATTTAACAAATCAAAATTAACCATTTAAAATTACAAACAAACCTGCAAAGGATTGTATCCCTTCCTAGGAGTTGTTTTAACATGAAGTTGATGGCCTTACCCATCAATTCACTCTCGTGAAACGCCATTAAAGTACTTGCAGAAGCACTTCCACACAAGGTGAGGCTCATTTCTTTGTTAGTGAAAGAATCTGAATTTGTTGGTGGAAGCTAAGGGAGTTAAGTTGTTATTGTGATAAGTATAATATAAATATAAGGTGTGGTGATACAATGAGATTGTCGTGCCGTCGGCGGTTTGCTTAAATTTGGAAACAGGAATATTTTGCTTAATTCACCACGGTTTTTAGTTATGGAGCCAAACACGCCCAATGTTACACTTTTTAGCAACTTAACTTAAGACTGCATTTGGATATTTTAAGCAAGGTTCTAAAACCTGACTTGGAGTGTCACCCGGCCAAGGGGTTGGGTCTCGGGTTGCCAGGTCCGGCTGGTTAAACTGACTATCTGCCGATGATCCAACAAGTTTGAAATCTTGTAAACACACCTCTAAAAAATACGCAACAGTTTCTAAAGGTTTGAAATTTAGCAAATACACTCCTGCAATCTGACCCTAAATTGATTTTTCCAACCAAATTACAGGGCCAAAATTTATCGACGTCAGCACTCTACAAAACCCCTCTAACTCCGGAACTTGGTAGCCCCCATTTGCCGACTGTGACTCTCGAACACCATCGTGATTGGGTTAATTTTTCCGACCAAATTTTGGCCGATTTCGATGTCCAAAATTCAACTCGACACCACCACTTGAACCATCGGCCTCTACTCCACAAAACACATCTATCCTCGGCACTTGGTAGCCCCTCGTTCACTGGCTGTGACTGGCGCATTGGTTGATTTTTCTGGCCAAATTCTGGTGGACTCCAACGTCCAAAATTCAATTTGACACCACCCCTTGAACCACCGGACTCCACTCTACAAGACTCCTTTAACCCTGACACTTGGTAGCCCCTTGTTCGCCGGCGATTAGATTAGGGATTTTGTGAATAGTTAAAAAAGGTAACCCAAACCAGAGAAGGCGCCAATCACCAATAAGACTGGTCCAACTGGTCGGTCTAGTCCGATTTTCAGAACACTTATTTCAAGGCTTGCTAATTGGGTTTTCTTAACCCACCATTACCAGTTAACCCAAACATTAGTTCAACTTCACCAATGAGCAAAGATTGTAATAAAAGCCAAATAAAGGGTTAGTTTAATATGACTTATTTGCATAGAACTCATAGAAAAGTAGTCCATTAGAGTATAGTTTATGAAAATATAGTATTTATGAAAAAGTTCTTAATTGTTTGATTAGGAAAATACAAAAGGGATTTATTGTATTAATTTACCAGGAAAGACACTAACTACAAGAATAAATAAAAGTCCAATAATATAGTTTTGAAATTTTAACATTTTAAATAATCTCAAAGAGAGCTTATAGAAGAAGCTCAAATCTATAAGCAGTAAAATAGCTTATTTTAAATTTTATAAGTATTTTTAAAATGCAGTCAAATAAGTGAATAACCTTAAAAAAAAAAAAAAAAAAGTGTTTATGAGATTAAATAAATTCTTTCGGCAAATAGATAACTCTAACCAAACAAACTCTAGATTCATATCATATTTTCTTAAAAGAATAATTCTACTCTCAAGTGGTAATACGAAATTAATTATTAAATAAATGATCACTTATTACATTATTTTTAATTATCAAAATAATAGTAATTATATTAGTTAATATATCTAAAATTGGGATTATAATTTTAAAATTCAGAATTATACTTCCGTAAAAAAGTTATGGTAGTGTAAATAAGTTGGGGACTTCCACTAAAAGATGCATAGTTTTAATTTAATCTTCCACTACAACTTTGGTGGAACGTGGAACCACTGTCGCCACATATCCAATACAAGTAGCCACAACAAACACTCAAAAGAACAAGTGAAAAGAATCTCTACCTGGAACATATAAATCAAAGATAATGAAGCATCTATTCTAGCACAAAAAATGCATTTACATCTCAGAAATAATGATGAGATGGAATTTGACACAATACCTTCTCAGTCTTTATGATGAATACCGCAAGGCTTCCTACATGTTTGAGGGAAGTTGAGCCCTCGAGAAGTTGTAACTTTCCATCAGAATATGAGGGTATCTCACTAGAGTCCGTTTTTGGACTTTGCGAAAGAGGAACCTGCACATGCAAACCAATAGTTAACAATGTAGTATTCGTGACTGAAAAATGATCATCATAAAGTGTTAATACTGAAGCTAAGCTCTTAAGATATAGACACCCAACAGTCAATCGATTAAAGAAGTTTGCTTAGTGTTTTTGGTGGATTTCAGATTTCTTACCATGTCCCGATTTCTTTAGTTTTTATTTTCTAACCCATTCATAAATAGATGAAACTATATAGTATTTAATCACTAACATAAAATTTGTTGCAACCTTGATGCTTAGATGTAGCTCGATGTAATGAGAATGCACAGCTACAAAGCAAAAGCATCCCTAACACTGAGGAAGGGGAACAGGAACAGTGTAGTGCCCATGCTTGAAACCATACTGAACTGAATCTTCCATGCCAATAGATTTTGACCTTATCGTGAGTGTATGGGATTGGCCACCTTTCTCATTATCATGGATACTAGCATTAACATCACCATTGCAATCAAAAACCTCAAAAACTATATTTTCAAGTTGAGAACCAACAGGACAACATTCAGGCTCCTGATTCTATACACTATTAGTAAAAATGACATTTAAACTTCCAATAATTAAGCAAAGGGATGGCAAAAGTAAAGCACACTAACCCCAGATACAAGTCTCGGTTTCCTTTTCTGAGTTTGAAACTCTTGATTGAAAATGACTTCATTATCATATAAAATAGAAATTGATACTGCAAAGGAAGAAACGTTAGAATACAATCACTGGACAAACCTAAATCCATTAATAAAATTAACGATTGTAATATTTAACTGTTCATAATTATGTTCTCAGCATTCTAAAAATTTTACTTTGATACAATTAATAATTGCA